CAGCTGAAGTGGCCTGCAGTACTGCACTCTAACCACTGCGCCACCTCGGCTCTAACCAATTAACCAATAAAGGAGAATATTTGTAGTTTAGAGGTTGAAATGAAGGGATCTTGGTGGTTTCCTTGCAGATATTTTCATTACCCTGCTGCTATTACCTAGTTTGGGCTACGAAATATCTGCAAGAAAACAACCAAGTTCAGACTACTGTAAAGCCTGAAACAGGCCCATCACAAAAAAATAAAAAATAAAAAATTTCCTCTAACTTACTTCCAAACCACAATCAACCTACAAAGTGCAATCGAGCCATATTCCCCTGCTTCTAACAAAATCATTGACTAGACTTCCCATTCCCCTCTATGTCGAATGTGGCCCATTCTTCACACACACACTGTCCTATCTTTTACTGTTTAAGATCTGGAGGGCCTATGGCACAATGAAAGAATATCGACATTTGTGTGATTAATGGCAGTTGCCTAATTCTCTAGCACCTTTCCTGGGTTTAGCATTCTAGAAACAAACCTCAATTAATGCTCAAAGGGACTATGTGTGTCCTGTCATGGTGCTGACAGAAATTTATTAGACTAAGCAACATTACGTTGGAGGGAAATAATGTGTGTTCCCAATGTTATTCGGGGGGGAAAAAACTTCTTCAAAACAAATAATACTGTGCACTTGTTAGATTTAACAAGAGAAAAAAAATAATGTTAACCGTGAAAGAATATTCACCTGACACTTTCAGCTTAGTACCGAAATCCTATTTTTCATTGATTCGGGAATGCAGTAAATTGATATTAGTAGCATAGAATAAATGTTCCAAACAGTACATCCATCATATTGTTCGTAGTCTGAGGAGACAATGGAAATTGTCCTGTTAGGAGGTCTGAGAATTATTTTAGGGCCCCTGCATACCAAGGAAATGTTTTAAAATATATAACTCTCAGTGCTTTGAGAGTTACCTGTATTCCTATTTCAGAGTTTTTCCTTCTCACCTCACATCCCTGTGTCCTTCATCCTGAGTGCCTTTCAGATGGTTCACAATTCATGATGCATCCATGCAGAACCTTACAATCCAGAAATATCTCAAAAGAAGAAAATGAAAAGTAGATGATCACAAGCCAGAGAGTTCTGTTTACATACATTTTTATAGCAATAATTTTTTTTATGGGGAAAGTTCTATTTTCAGAGTGCTAATGCTGTTTTCATTTTTCAGACCAATACTCTAACCATTACATTCTTCCCAAATATTTCTGATACAATAATTAATTCAGTGTGTGCACATATTAAACAAGCTGTATGTGTATTTGGTCAAATCTGAGCAAAGGTTTTGTATATGTGCAGAGACTCAAACAATTTTGTTTGTCATGGATAATGTTATAAAAATGCTACCATTTTTTTTTCCATTTCTAAATCACAGGTAACTTTTTGGATTCCAGCTGCTGTGGAAAAAAAAAGTGTACAGGGATTAATAAAGCAAGGGAGAGAGCAATTTATTCTGCTAAACTTGGGGAAATATCAAGGTTATTAGAAAAATTTAGAAAAACTCAAATTTCTTTTGTTCTTTTTTACTCTGACAGGATAACAGGAAATCTGTTATCCATAAATCTATAAAAATAATAGATTCCTCAAAGTTTTTGTAAGAAATAAGTTTTCGCTAAGTATTACTAGCATGATATTCTTAGGAAATTTTTGTAGAAGCAACAGGCATAATATGCTTGTTTCTCAATGACAGAGGTATCTCATTCTGTTAAAAAAAAAGAAATCCTTTGGCTCACGTTCTAATATTCTTTCTCTCAGACCGAGCAATATTTTCCAGACAGTAAAGCAATTAATTTTTAAAGCCATTTCCTTAGAGAACAGAGATTTAGAATACTCCATCGTCTAGTTAAAGAAGGCAAATTGAAAATGCACCCCCCAATTTCTTCTGCATGTGTGCCATAATGCACTGGGAAACACAAATACCAACTCCAAGTATCTTATATAGTCATGGAAAGCTTTTTTGTAGCGCTGTTCTGAAAACACTGTTCATATCCCTTAGTGTAGTACAGGGCCAAAGCTTGAAAAATTTGGGGCCAAAGCCAAATGCTCTCCGTGCAGTCACATCTCCTTCCCCAGACACCCTCATGTACAAAACATGCAGGAGCTACTGCAATCAGGTTTGATAAATACCTCCTGTTGGAATCACGGAAAGTTTGCTTTCAAAGTACAATTGCAGAGTGTAGGAGGAATGTTCAGGGAGGCCCCCAACAAGCCAGCAGTTGCATTGATATTCTGTACATCTGAACCTGCAGCTTGGATCCACAAATCACAGGAAGCTGTAATGTGGTTTGTTTGATTTGGCCTTAGCCTAGTATGGCAATCCAGTTATGCAGTTTGACATGCTATCGCTTAAGTGAGCATTCTTTGAGCTGCTGAAGTCCAACAGATGTCAGGAAGCCTAAAAGTGTAGCAGAGAAAGCGTCTATTGCCTTGAGAACCTGAAAGGAATTGAAGAATGGCAATGTTGGATATAAATATTGCATTTTCTTAAAAGCCGTGTTAAAATCCGTGGCACGACATAACCGCGAACGTCAAAAGCGCGCCGACAACAGCGCACCGACAACAGCGCGCCGACAACAGCGCGCCGACAACAGCGCGCTGACAGAAGCACAATTTAACTTAAGGTAAGGTTTAGGGTTAGGGTTAGGGTAGGTTTAGCGTTAGGTTTAGGGTAGGTTTAGCGTTAGGTTTAGGGT